GGGGGGGAGACATGACACATTCACTCTGTATCTGGGATCCCACAGAAGTGAAAAATATTGGAGGAACCTGAAAACATGTGAAAGCTAAGACCTACAAAATTTAGGAGAGTATAGTTGGAGATTATTCTAAGAAAATTAAGAGGAGATCAATAAATTGTCACAGAGTGTGTAGTAGAGTCCATATCACTCAAACATCAATGGTCTACAATAAATATTAGACTTTAGGAATTGTTTTCTAATGCCGGGCACCAGTGGTTCACACCTGTAATCCTAGCTACTCAGGAGGCTGAGATCTTAGGATCACAGTTCAAAGCCAGCCCAGGCAGCAAATCCATGACACTTTTATCTCCAATAAACCACCAGAAAACTGGAAGTGGCACTGTGGCTCAAGTGGTAGAGCACTTGCCTTGAACTGAAGAGCTGAGGGACAGTGCCCAAGCCGAGTTCAAGCTCCATGACCAACCAAAAAAAAAAAAAAAATTGTCTTCTAGAGAAGAAATAAGCCAAAAGCCTACTTATGTGAATGAAGTTTTATTAGAACACCGCTAGTACCACTCAAGTGCATCAACTAGAACTACAACAGCAGTAGCTACAAGAGAGACTGTATGGCCACAAGGCCAAAAATATTTACTATCTGGCAATTTGCTGGGTACAACAGTGTACAGCTGTCTGTCATCTCAGCTTCAAGGGAAGCACAAATAGGCTGGCACAAGGCAAACAGGCATGACGCAAGACCCTATCTCAAAATTAACAAACACAAAAAAGGTGAGTAGTAAGGACTCGTGCTGCCTAGCAAGCATGAGGCCCTGAGATCAAATCCCATTACCACCTAAAAACTAAATAACCGTATGAACCCCAGATCTACACAAAAGCATCCTGAAAAGAAAAAAGTAGTGCTTAACTACTGCCCATACATGTCCAGGGCAATTTACAACGTGAGGAGCAAATACACATTTCTAAATAAATAAGATTTACATGCTGTCTTGCTGGACACTCTGAGTAGCCATTACTACAAAATAGCTTCTTGTATAAGCTCATCACATAAACAGCATGACAGTGGTTCCTTTGATAAAGGTTAAAAAGTTCTCTGCTCAAACACAGGAGTGCTTTGTGGACATCTATGCTTTTCATCCCCACAGTTCACTCAAAACCATGAAATAGTCTCTTAAGTGTTTTATTTAAAAGGAAAACTATTTTGTGAAAAGAATACATAATACATAAAATAGATAACATATGCAATATATAAATACTATTCATATATTATATAGTATTTACAATGTAGTATATACACTATATATTATATAATGTACATAATATACTATTATGCTTTTAATACTATTTATTTTGATATGTAATATGTAAATTAATAGTACTGACAAGAGAGAAATCATCAGTTTAGAAGTTTCATAATGTTAAAAATAAATGATGTGTAGGTTTCTGGTGGCTCATATCTGTAATCCTAATAAAAAGACTAAGACCTGAAGATCATGGTTCTAAACCACCTTGAGCAGACCAATAGGCAAAATTCTTATCTCCAATTAACCAGCACAAAGGTGGAAGTGAAGATGTGGCTCCAGTGGTAGATTGCCAACCTTAAGCAAAAAGCCAAGCTGGAGCAGGAGGCCAAGAGTTCAAGCTCCAGTACTAGCACAAAAGTAAATAAATATACATATTAAATATAAATGATTTAAGTTTAAAAATTCTGAGATGCCACCATATCCCACAAAGGCATACATTTGATTATAATTACATAACCAAATGTTATTCATCCACATTCTCCATGGATGAATAAGGTTGGTGGAGAACGAAGACTTGAGTCAGCCTCGAAAGTGTAAAGAAGTACTTTGCAGTGTATTTATAGAAATGCACACAAAGTAACTGCGCTAGGATAATCCGACTCATGGACACAAGGTATCTCCGCGGCATCATCTTACTGTGTTCTGGGTTGTTTAGAGATGGTTAGTGACAATAGCTGCCCACACAGCTCTCAATCACACCCGCACACACAAATTAGGTGTTTTCATTTGGATGGAACCAGACCTGGGGAAAGAATACTTGGTGCAGATGTAGCCATACAACACATTGTTTTAAAAATAAAAACCTTGTTTTAAAAAAAAGGGAGGGGGGAATTTTAGTGATTTTTCAGTAACTATTAAATAAGTTAAATGTTACTAATAGCCAACAGAAGACAGAGCAGGGGTTCTGAGGCCCTGAGATTAGATACTTTTATCACGCTCTGTAACTATTCTGAAGACCCTGAGTCTGGTTTTTCCCTGCTGACAGTCATGTCTCCAACGCTGGCCTAGAGTCTCACCTCCCCCAATGGCAGGCAGCCTTCATACCAGGCGTACTTTCCTCCTACTTGGAGGGGCAGAGGGAGGGAGGGAACTCCTGGAACCGTCCAGCCAAGAAAACGTGTGAGGGGAAAAGAAACGTGAGCGAGACTGGCGTTACCCACATGCATCTGGCCTCCGCAGTTTCTAGGTTTTCGTCTTCAGATAATTTCGGAGTGAAACCCCGAGCAGTCACAGACCCTAGTTTGCTGCCCAGCTTGGTTTCCTACCATGAAGTTTCAGGAGGAGGGTGGTGGGTTCAAGAGCAGTGACATCGGGGAAACAGAGGCGTGGACGGGTCCAGGTCTTTTTACACGTGGATTGCACCAGAGCCAGCCCGGGGCACCGGCCCCTCCGGGAGCCCACGTCCTTGGGGGCGGAGCTTGCGCACGCATCCCACCAGCCCAGGCCTGAGAGGAAGTACCCGCCCTAGCTGCAGGAGCCCAGACGTACTCGCCGCTCATTGGCTGCAGAGGCTGCCAGTGTTTCTCCACCCCCCTCGAGGGCGGGGCCTCTTGCCACAGAGTGGAATCTCAGGCTGGCACCACTCTAAGGGTCTTCCCTACATCCTCTATTCTCAAAACAACAAGTTTTGTTGTGTTTTGTTGGCACTCCACTTACAATCTCCTCCAAAAGGCAAAGCTTCTCCAGAGTTCTAACATCTCTTCCCCACTGAGGCTCCAGTCCAGGAGCAAATAAGAGGATGCAGCACTCCCAGACAGCTCTGGCTGGCTGTCAGCGGACGCTGGGGCACTGCCCCTGTAGCGAGAACACTGGCGTGCACTCAGCAAGAGGTGCTACAAAACCCCTACAGGGTCCACTGTACCTTTTGCTCTGCCAGTCGATGGTTACAGGGTTTGCACCAATCGTCCCGCCTATCCTGTAAACTTCAGAGATGCAAATACTATGCCATACTTCAAAGCACACTAGCAGCAAACCGGCTCATGGGCCTGAATAGGCCAAGTTAAAAAGGCACATAATCTGGAACATTATTCTGTAATGCAACCTCTCAGACATGGTTCGGTCACCTGCAGGGAATACATACACTCCTTGAAAATGCATACCGCTCAGAGAAGGAACATGCTCCTCTATAAACTAGGAGCATCCTAGTTTCCAAGTGCATCCTTTTAAGATTAGTACTCTTAAAGGAACGGCAGTCATCTCGTAAATGAAATTTCAAAGAAAGGTCGTTTTCCACGAAAAAGTCAACAGCAAAATCGTTGTCATTTTACTTCTATCTTTGCGATTAAGGCTCAGATGTTCAGTAAGCACAGCCTTGGTAAATAACCGAGCTGCAGCTAAGTGCTGGCATAATTCATGAGTTGATACATCATCTCCAAAGGCCTCCAACATGAAGAACGCAAGGCATGAAGAGCACCGCAGTTCTTAACGACCTCACCTGCAGCAGCTTCTAGGTTGATTTCATTTCCAGCAGCTATTCTGGAAACGTGTGGCCTTTCAACTTGTCTAGCCTTCCTGTGGCTTCCCTTTGTCTCCTTTTGCCGGTCCCAGTCCCCCCTCTCCCCTCTCCCCTCTGCCAGCCCATCCCTCCCCTCTCCCCCCACCCTCCTTCAACTAACTATCAGTCTTTTTCTGTTCCATTGCCACGGTCAGCACCGACGCTCGCTGGTGCCTCGATGGCCTACACCCGCGCTGCGGGTCTCAGGCCCGACCCCAGCGCCGATCCTCCCACCACCCGGTCCGCCTCTCCCGCAGAGAACCTCGCTGCGGCTCCGAGTCGGGCTGCAGCAGAAACCTGACGGATGAGCTCCACCAATCAGCGAGGGAGACATAACAGACGCCACCAATCAGCTTCCGCCGGGAGGCGGGACTTCGCTCAAGTTCCTCAGGTCCCGAAACCAAAGACCTGTTGCGGCGGCCGCCGGGGCCGCGGAGTTTCTCAGCTACGCGGCGCCGACAGCGGCCTCGGCGCGAGTTCGTGCCTTCGGCTGCCAC